TCATACCTATTTCGTCAGCACCAAATCAGCATGATGCCCTTCCTAGAGAAGGGGTATTCAGCCATGATTTAAATTTGGGTTAAAACAATTATGAACCTGTCTTCCTTGGCTGTCAGCATTTGCTCAGTGAACCAAGGTCTGATGTCTTCCATCTACATAGTATCTTTTTGTTAAAATGAAAGTAGTGAAATTGGCTGTCCAAATAACATCTCACATAGACTTAAGTCTTATGTCTTTGGATTGTGATCCCTTGGGCTGTTACCAGTTCTCTTAGTCTTTGGTTAAATGTTCCTGCTGAGTGCTGACGATCATGCAGGAGGCCAAAACTAATTTTTCTTTCTATGCTGTCAAGGCCAGTGGATTAACTATTCTTCAAGGGTCATTTGGACCTGATGAGAATATCAGCCTCTTCTAGTCTTTCTTGTGTCCATCAATGTGTGTCCATCAATGTGAGGATAATCAAAGGCTTTTTTGAAGGCTTGGGTAAATCTTTCCCACATTGACCTTCATTCTGTAAACTAGACAATGTTTCAATTTTATGGAGTGGTGTTCACGGCCACTATGAATAAGATACCATGTGAGCAATGGCCTTAGTTCCCATCCAGGGACCTAGTAACCTCACGGGAAAATGGGAGAAATATTGTCCCTTATAGTCCATCTAACCACATTAGAATAGCCTCCAGGAATGGTTGTGAAACTTGAGAAGATTATTTTTACACCACTTTGGTACTTTGAATTATTGTATACTACTTCAATAACCAGACATAACTCAACAAACTTTTATTAGACATATATTTTAGCCAATCACAAAAGTTTATATTTCAGATAGACATATATTTTAGTCAATCTCTGAAACAGTTTATATCTGAATTTGTCAACTTAATAAAATATATGGTCTCTACATCTCATCCTTTATGTACCTGAACCAACTTAGTCAGATGTTGAGATAGGAGCAGAGGGGCTGCGTCCCTGGCACCCGGCCGCCCGCATGGCTAGGTTATGCCCAGAAATAATTACATGGAAACTGTATTTTTTAAACACTGCCTGGCCCGTTATCTGTAGCCTCTTATTGGCTAGCTTTTACATATTGTTCTAACCCATTTTTAATATTCTGTGTAGCCCATGAGGTGGCTTACCAGGGAGGATCTTAACCTGCGTCTGTCTGGAGTGGGAGAATCATGGCGACTCCTCACTCAGCTTCTTTCTCCCTGCATTCTATTCTGTTTACTCCGCCTACCTAAGGGTTGGCCTATCAAATGGGCCTAGGCAGTTTCTTTATTAATAAGAAATCACTCCCACATCAGTCAGACCTTCATAACTTCTAGTCTTTCATTCTGTAGCCATCCAGTCATTATCAAATTCACATATATATATATGTGTATATATGTATATATATATATATGTGTGTGTGTGTGTGTGTGTGTGTGTGTGTGTGTGTCCTTCTTTACTAAGGCCATTTCCACATTTATATTCTTTTATGTACTGCTTCCTATTTCTAATTCTATGAGGCTTAGGAACATTACCAAATATATTTATGATTTATTGTGAGATTTTTCTACCAGGAAGAGGGGTCAAGGCAATATTTTTCCCATCCTCATAAGTCCTAATGACAATGAAAAGTAGTTTCACCAAATTCCACCATGGGGAACAAATGAGTTTGTTGAGATTACTTACTGAACATGGTTGAGGAGAGTCTTACAGGAGTTTGGGTACTGCGGTGGTTTGAATCAAAATGGTCCCCACAGTCCCATAGGGAGTGGCACTAATAGGAGATGTAGCTTTGTTGGAGTGTTTCTGGCCGTGTTGCAGGAAGTCTGTCACAGACATTCTCTGCTGCTTTCTGATCTGGATATAGAACTCTCAGCTCTTTCTCCAGCATCATGTCTGTCTGCATGCCACCATGCTTCCTGCCATGATAATGTACTAAACCCTCTGAAACTGTAAGCCAGCTTCGATGAAATGTTTTCCTTTAGAAGAGTTGCTGTAGTCATGATGTCTCTTCACAGCAACAAAAATTCTAAGACAGTTACCCCAAAGCAGCTCCACCTAGTATGTACATTGGCTCTCCATAGCTACATGTGTGCAGCTCACCTCTTCTCTCCACACACTCCAGCATTGCACTATATTTCTCAGTGTGCATAGGAGGTAAGCCTGATAGCACTCAAGGGAATTATGATGGCTTTCTCATAGGTACAGATGTAGGATCCCCGTCCTCCCAAGGCTTTCCCAGGCTATGTGTTCTAGCTCCTCCTAAAACCACAAGGTCACATGTCATTAGGGCTGAATTGCTTACCATTGATGGGAAAGAGGCTGAATACTCAGAAGGAGGGGCTACCTCCTTCTAGAGTGGAATAACAAAACTCAGCAAACCCGGTGGTGATATTCCTATGTAAGCAGGCACAACCGATCAAAGGAAGGTGCCATTTGCTTGTCTTAAGATAGCACTAAGCAACAAGAGTGAAATAAAAGGAAGCTGAATAGAAACTGTATATGAGATAATGTAATAAATTGTTATTTCCTCAGTATATTTTGTTAAACAAAACCTTATAGAAAACACAAGACAATTGTGTTACAGTACATGGCATCAATACTATAACTGTGCTTTTGGATATTTATGGGTGTATTTTGGTGATACAAAGAAAGAGCAAATATATAACAAAACAACATCACATTGATATGTACAGCATCCAGTACAATACAACTAAGAAATCCCTCTTAAAGCTATGATGTTCCAGCTTGCACTCGAGAGGTCTTTACATCGAGGATCTCTCCTCTCCGTGGATGGACATCCCATTATTTCTTTTTACCATTCACGTGACCAATAGCAGTATACTTAAAAGGTGACTAAGCATTTACATTGTAGTACCTTACTTCTCTTTGTATTTTAGAGGAAGCCCTCCCTTAGCAAAATTCTCCTTTGTGTGATTTACTATCTCCTAAGCATTGGTAAATCCTTTATATCAATAACTCTATTCTTCTACATCACAACTCTGTAGTGGACTGCTACCCAGTATATGAGATGTCATTTATGACCTCCACAAAATTAACTTCTAATGGATCTTACACCTAAAAGTCAAATATGAAGTACAGAAGTTCTAGAAGATACTTGAGAAACTAGTCCTGTCCATGTTTGGCAAGTTGCCTAGGTCTTGGGAGGTGCTTCTAAGAACCTGATGGAATAAAGAGAAAATAGACTCTCTCGAATCAGGAATATGCTTGGGGGAGCTGGTAAACATCTGGGGCCGGGGACTTTGGGAGGCGTTGCTTCAGACCCTGAGAACCCAGCTCATTCCACACAAGGGCTGTGGTTATCAGTCCCCACAGCGCTGTGGACTTTGTTTTTAATATTCTTTTTTCCCTCAAATTCTTTTTTTTAATTATTTATTTATTTATTTTTTGTAATATAATTTTTTATTGAAAAAAAAATTTCTGCCTCCTCCCCGCCTCCCTTTTACCTCCCCCTCCTCCCACTCCTCACCCTCTCCCCCCCCTCCTCACCCCTCCCCCCACTCCTCTCCCCCTCCCTCTCCAGTCTGAAGAGCAGTCAGGGTTCCCTGCCCTGTGGAAAGTCCAAAGTCCTCCCCCCTCCATCCTGGTCTAGGAAGGTGAACATCCAAACTGGCTAGGCTCCCACCAAGCCAGAACATGAAGTAGGATCAAAACCCAGCGCCATTGTCCTTGGCTTCTCAGCAGCCCTCATTGTCCGCCATATTCAGAGAGTCCGGTTTTATCCCATGCTTATTCACTCACAGTCCAGCTGGCCTTGGTGAGCTCCCAATAGATCAGCCCCACTGTCTCCATGGGTGGGTGCACCCCTCGTGGTCCTGACTTATTTGCTCATATTCTCCCTCCTTCTGCTCCTCCTTGGGACATTGGGAGCTCAGTCTGGTGCTCCAGTATGGGTCTCTGTCTCTATCTCCATCCATCTCCAGATGAAGGTTCTATGGTGATATGCAAGATATTCATCAGTATGGCTATAGGATAGGGTCATTTCAGGTTCCCTGTCCTCAGCTGCCCCAGGAACTAACTGGGGACATCGCCCTGGGCACCTGGGAGCCCCTCTAGCTCCAAGTCTCTTGCCAACCCTAAGATGGCTCCCTTAATTAAGATATGTGCTTCCCTGCTCCCCTATCCAACCTTCCTTTATCCCAATCATCCCGTTTCCCCAAGTTCCCCCCCAACCTCCCCTTCTCACTTTTCTCTCCCCATCTCCCCTTACCCCCTCCCACCCCAGCCCCAAGATCCCAATTTTTGCCCGGCAATCTTGTCTACTTCCCATAACCAGGAGGATAGCTATATGTTTTTCTTTGGGATCACCTTCTTATTTAGCTTCTTTAGGAGATCAAATTATAGACTCACTGACCTTTATTTATCTCTAGAAACCAATTATGAGTGAGTACATCCCATGTTCATCTTTTTGGGTCTGGGTTACCTCACTCAGGATAGTGTTTTCTATTTCCATCCAGGAAAGCAGTGTGGAGGTTTCTCAGGAAATTCGGGATCAACCTACCCCTGGACCTAGCAATGCCACTCTTGGGAATATACCCAAGAGATGCCCGATCAGATGACAAGGGCATTTGTTCAACTATGTTCATAGCAGCATTATTTGTAATAGCCAGAACCTGGAAACAACCTAGATGTCCTTCAATGGAAGAATGGATGAAGAAAGTGTGGAATATATACACATTAGAATACTACTCAGCGGTAAAAAACAATGTTTTTAATATTCTTGAATTACTCTGTGTTCCTCTTGTGCACATTTGTCTGATAAGTCTCCTTCTGAGTTTATACACTTCCTTTTAAAACTGAACGCATTGGTTTAGATTAACAAGAGACTTGCTGTTGAATTTGGTACAAATCTGCCAATCTGGGATAGGTCTGTGCTTAATCTGGAAGCCAACATTGGGAACCACCCATTCCTGTCACTCAGGCCTTACTAGCCAATCAGAGCCTCCAGCGGACCCGCATGTCAGATGGGCAGGTTCTTCCGGGTGCCAGGCTCCAGTGCTCAGCTAAGAAGTCGGTGATCTGCTTGCCTGTGTCTTGTGGACTCTGTTTTGGGGAAAGCGTGGGTGAGCTCTGCAGCCGGGCCATGGTGAGAGACGAGTAGCTGTCCGCAGACGAGGAGTGGCCGGCCATGGTGAGTGAGGGCCCACTATCCCCAGACTGGGTGGAGCGGCCGGCTACTCCACACGACCCTGTGTGGTTAGTCTGTCCTGGGCTGGGTGGGAGCGAGAGGCCAGAGAGTTTGATTTGTTCCTGCTGACCCTGTGTGTCCCTTGTGTGGTACTTGCAAGTCCCTGGGCCAGGGCGGCAGCCTCTGAATAACGTCACTCTGCAGGCTGCATCTGCGGAGAGCACTGGAGTGGGACTGTGCTTTGAAATAAGTATTCTTTTGTTGACATCGCTGTGAAATGTTGGTGCCTGCAGAGCTCATTTTGTCACCATGGAAGGCAGCTTTGCCAAACTCGGAGAGTTCTCGTCTCTCTAGTATATAACAGAACGTTTAACATTTAGGTTTAGGACCCATCTGGAGTTAATTTTGTGGAGCGTGTAAATGGTATCACGTGTTGAATAGCATTCCCCTGCTAAACTGTGAATTGATGTATAGGACTTACCAATTCTTAGGCTACATTAAGTCACACAAAGTAGAATTTAGGTAAGGGACAGCCACCTACCACATGTCCCAAAGATAAGTAGTATGTTACCATGCCTGTTAGAGATCAATATGATAAGATGTAAATGTGTGTTCACCAGAATTAATCACCTGTTAAACTACATTCTCTAAACAAAGGAGACAATCCTGACTTTCAACCACCGGAAAGACCCAATCAAAGATAAGGCCTCTACATGCTGCTCAAGGGGACGATAGAGGGTCACAACCAACATTTAGTCCTGGTATGCCAGAAAGATATATTAATTCTAGAACAGGTGCTACCCCGGTCTTTTGAAAAGTGGTTTTGAGTCAAGTTCTCCTATGCTGATTGTAGTGGGCTTGAACACTGTAGCCCCATAGGGCACTGCCCTTGCTATTCCCTTGCAAACCACCCTAAATTCTTGGATTGCAAGTCTGTAGAACAACAGAGTTCTAAACTTGCCAGTTTGAGTCACATAGTGGGCTATCTCTTGCAGCAACAGGAAAAAGGATTTGTGTGTGGAGCACGGCTTCTCTCTTCAGACCATAAGAGGAGGAACAGTGTACTATGTACGCTGCACGGGTAACAGACTAGCAATAGCCAGGTCACAGACGGAAGTTAAGACTGCAGTGGTGTCCATTATAAAGAAGGACCTGGTGGGGCAGGGTGAGTGACTGTCTGTGTAATTTCCCAGTGTGTATTAATTCTATCTGTGTGAATGAAAGCCGAGAGAATGGGTGGGTGTACAATTTATGGAGGGTAACTTGAACGACTGAGTATTCAGTTTTTCAGTTAGGGTTCCCTCTTCTGAAAATGTGCAGTCCCAGTTGACACTGCTCAGTCAGCTGAGAGGTCTGAGACACAGGCTGTAAATCCAGTCAGGATATAGCACTCAGCAGCTAATATTTTACAAAGTCATACAATGTCTTATTAATGCATTCTCTCTACCAGAGAAGGGCCCACTCTCTTTCCCAGTCAGCATTGCTGAGTGTTCTAATTGTGTTTGTCATTTTAAAAGTCAATCATTGGAATCATTTTTTTTTTTACATTTCCCTTTATTTAAATGCAGATAGTTTAGAAAGTTTTAGAAAAGTGGTGATGGGGATCACCCTTCAGCACACATAATTAGAATGCTTTCTGCTTCTGCTAGCCACCTGGTTGTGATTAGTGAAGCTCAGTTAGAGGGGGCACAAGGTGTTTCTGAGCTGCAGAGGTATCTCAGGTGTGCATGGTGTTAAGCAGGTGAACAAGGCAGATTCCGTGTCTTATGCCATAATCCACTGTGGCAGGACGCAGATATTATTTTTGTACATTGGGTTTTGATTGGGCATGAGTGGGTCTGGGTTTGCTTGAAACCACAAGGGACCATGAGTTACTGTAGAGCCATTGGTGACTCTGCAGAAGATCACCTCCATTTGCAGAGGGAGTTTGGAGCATGACTCCAGAGTATAGAAACTCTCTGGAAGAAATATCATCAGTTGGAGGGTAAGAAACAACACATGTTTTAAAGGTCACATTGAGTTGATTTTGTATGAGTTATAAAGTCTGTGCTTACTTAATTTCTGTATGCATAGAATCATAGATAACTGGGGAACATTGACCAAGATCACACATTTCCTGTCTGAGTTTCCTTTGATTACAAGTTAACTATATTTTTCTGCTTTTATTCTTAGCTTTTTCTCTCTGTTGCCTTTATTCTTTAAGAAATATTATACATTTTCTTGATTAGTGTACCTCTTGTTGTAAATATAGAAGTCACACTGTGTCAATCTGTGTACTAATTTTCCTAATCCCATTGAGCATTCTTAGTGTTTCCACTTTGCATGTAACTTTGGAATCATCTTTCCTGTCAATAAATTTTTGGGCATTGTTGCTGGATTGTGTTCAATTTATGGTGCAAACCTCTTAATATTGATGCATCATGTTCCAATGGATGATTTATTTACTTTATTTATTTAGATGTTGTTGCTGTTAACTTGTGAAAGACTTGTAATTTATTGGATAAAAAGTATTATGGGTCTTGGTAGGTCACTTAGCACTTGTTTCTTCTTAGGGATGATCTGAGTTCAGATCTCAGCTCCCAAGTTGGAGGTTCAAAACCACGTGCTACTCCATTTCCGGGGGATTTGATACCATCTTTTCTGGTATATAGCCTCTACACACATGGAATACATTCTCTCAAACACATAAACATGCATATAAAAATGGGGTAAATTCATTTTCAGAAGTGCTGTTTTACTTATAAAACAATTGCAGCAAAACAAATTGCTTCCAGTTTAATACAAGTCATACGATATCTCCTTAAAAATCTGTTATCTGTTGCATTTGGTTAGAAGATTTTATTCCTTCACTCTGATGCAGACTTATATCTAATCATCCATCATAGGAAAATGATCCTAACTTTCATGAACAGGACGGTAGACATGCATAATTAGTATTCCAAAAGTCATGTTTTATTATGCTGACGTTCATTACACAAGATTCACACCCTAAATCCCAAACTAAGATCCTAAGCCTGTTTCCCCATGACTGTTCCCCTATTGGATGTATCTTAGTTAAGGTCAGGTCTAAACTCTAACAGAAGTCTCTGGATCCTGGGGGAAGATGATCTAGCTGCAGTATAGATCAAGGTGATGTTTCTCCAGATATGCAAGAGCATTGCTCTTGGTCTCTGATTATATAATCTCCACTGGGCATCCTGGTATTCTAGTGCTGTGTCTGGATATCTTGAGTGAGTTATCAGTGGCCTCCTGTTATGAGGTACAGCCTTGTGTGTAGAGGGATGCCTGGCTAAGCTATTTTTACACACCTAAAAGGCTTTTTTTTTCTATGCTCATTACATTTCTTCCCTGTTTCTTGAGGCACACACAATGACAATGGGGACCACACATAAGAATTATTAGGAATTTGTAAATTTGGGCCACAACAGGGAAAGAAGCATATTACTAACAGGCATATAAATGCAGAAAAACAAGTGGCAGGAAGTAAACGAGTAATTAATTAAAATCTTTAAACAATGTAGAATACAGGATATTGCCTTGATCCCTCTGACATATATTTTCCAAATTTTATATTTTTTTAGGTTTGGTATATACCAAGTTGAAAATATGTTCAGAAGTAAAAGGAAATGCAATCACTTTCCTAGCAAGTCATCTTCAGTTCATTATTATAATAGGGTACCCGAGTCAAAAACATGTCTCTGTTCAAATGTTAGACTGTCCTTAGAAAGGAGTTGTAACTCCAGTAGCATTTTATATAGCCAGACAACCAGGGTCTTCAGAATATAGTGAGGTCTGGTGTATCTCTGGCGGTGTAATACATGTCATCTGTGGGTTGGAAGACCTTCATAGAGCATGCAGTTGAGACTCCATTGCCACGGTCTGTGAGTGGGCTTGCATGTTGAAATAGGAGCGGCAGGGCTGCGTCCCCGGCACCCAGCCGCCCGCATGGCTAGCTTATGCCCAGAAATAATTACACGGAAACTGTATTCTTTCAAACACTGCCTGGCCTGGCTAGTTCCAGTTTCTTATTGGTTAGCTCTTACATATTGTCCTAACCCATTTCTAATATTCTGTGTAGCCCACGAGCTGGCTTACCAGGGAGGATCTTAACCTGCGTCTGTCTGGGGTGGGAGAATCATGGCGACTCCTCACTCAGCTTCTTTCTCCCAGCATCCTATTCTGTTTACTCCGCCTACCTAAGGGTTAGCCTATCAAATGGGCCTAGGCAGTTTCTTTATTAATAAGAAATCACTCCCACATCACTTGCAAAGACCTAAGTGGTCAGTTCTGACATTTGGAACTCACTAGACAGAGAGAGGATGGGTGGTCACAAAGATGTTGGCCCCAAGTGAAATGTATGTCTTTGTGTAGCAGATACCTGTTGTATTAGTTCAAGTAGCCCATAGGAAAGAATCAGTGGGTACAACAAATTCATCCCCAGTTTCCTAGGCAATGGGTGTATGTGCTAAACTGGTACTTCATTGTCCATATAGACTAAGATAAAGCAAATATGTTTTACAGAATCTATGCTCACACCAAGAAGTTTGCCTTGGGTCCAGTAGAGACTTATAGATCACTGTTTTTGTTCCAAATATTTTAGAAAAATACTTAGGTCTATGGACTCCTTTCTATTTCATCACAATAACTATAACAAACTATATTTCCAATAGCTTTACAATGGTCATATTGAAATTAGAATACATTGCTGGTGTATGTGAAATTTAGGATGAAGTGTTCATTACCCCACTGTTATGGTAGGAATTTATATAAGATGTAGTAGGGTATGTCAAAATATTACACTTTACTCTTGGTTTGTTTGTATAGTTAGCTGTTGGTATTGTGGCTATTCCATTTATTGTTCCTGTTGCTATAGATAAGGTTGTTTATCAAGGTGATGATGTTGCTGATATTGACCATCTCAATGGTGATGTGATGGTAAAACACGCAATGGTGGTGTTGAAGAGCCTGAGCTTGACTCGATGGGTATTGTTAACTTTATAGAA